CTGATATTAATGAAACTACTTCAACTTTCTTTAGAGTTAGTATGATGTATCTTTTTCCATTTATCTTGTCTGTCTTTATAGTTTAAATAGGTTACTGAAGACAATAATGACTCTTGCTTTGTAAATATAATATGAAAGCCTCTGCCTTTTAATTGCAGCATTTAGATCATTTATACTTACTGTAATGATTGAAATGATTGGGTTTAAATCTACCACCTTGATATTTATTTATTTTCTATTTGTCATATTTTTTTGTGCTTTTCTAACCTTTTTTTTAGTCTTTTCTGTTATTATTTGAGTGTATTTATGTTTCCATTTTGTTTTCTTTACTAGCACTTTTAATTCATTTCATCATTTTCAAATAAAATTATACTACTTCACTTAGAGTATAAGAACATCATAACAGAATGCTTTCATTTTTCCTCCTACTATCATATATATGATCAAACACTGTACTTTTACCTGTGTTATAAACCCCATAGAGCATTGCTCTTAATGTTGTTTTAAATAGTTAATTACCTTTAAAAGAGTTTTTTAAAAATAGAATAAAGTGCGTAATTCACCTACAGATTTATGATTTATTCAATACTCCTTATTACATTATGCAGTTCCAAAGTGAACATTTTTCTTCTACCTAAAAGTCTTTTTGGTTTTTTTTTGAGAGTTTTTTTGCTATAGGGTGCATATTCTCACCAGAAAGACAGAGAGAGACAGAGAGACAGAAAGTGAGAAAACACCCTCCAGGGAGGATGGCCATGCCACTATCCCTTCTCCTCCATTCTCCTCTCTGGATCTTGGGCATGCATGCACATGTGCCCAGCATGAATTGCCACTGGGTCCGGGACTCAAACTGCAGTCGACTGCGTGGGAGTCCAGCGACATAGCCTTTATGCCAACTGCTGGTCCCTGCCTAAAAGTCTTTTTAAATATATTTTTTACAGTACTGGTTTGCTGGTTATGAATCATCTCACCTCTTGTATATATATGTGAAAAAAGTCATTTGATTTCACATTTATTTTTGGAAGATAACTTTGCTGAATGAAAGTCTAGATTGATAGTTTCTCCCCTCTCCTTCAATCCTTTAAATATATGGCTCCACTGTCTAAGAGCTCACACTGTTTTTAAGGAGAAGTCTGTTGTAATTCTTACCACTGTTTGGTATGTATTTTTTAGATTTTTCTGTGTGATTTAAGATTATTTTCTTTACCACTGGTTTAAGTAATTTAATTGTAATGATCCTTATATGGTTAATTTCAAATTTCTTATGTTTATCTCCTCCCCATTAAAAACAGTTTATTTACATAATTCTTCCATGAGTGAGAGAGAGAGTGAGAGAGAGAGACAGACAGACAGACAGACAGACAGTATACCCAAGAGAGTCTTCATGCCACAATCCACTCTCTGGATCATGGGCATGTGTTTGTGTCTGGTGTAATCAGAGAAATCTCTGGGTATGAAGTTGCAACCCTCCCATGGGAGTCAGGCTTACAGATCATAATGTTTTTCCTTTGCCACCTTCTGGTCCCTCAAATTTCTTATATTTGGATTTCACTGAGCTTCTTGGGTCCATGTTGTTAGAGTTTTTATCAAATTTGGGAAGTTGCAGCCACTACTTGTTCAGCATTCTTTTCTTTTTCCCAATCTCTCTTCTCCTTCAGAGACTCCAATTTCTTATGGTATTAGACTGCTGATGTCACAAAATTCAGTCATGATCCATTAATTTTTAATTCAATTTGTCAAATGTCTTATTTCAGATGTATCTATATCTATGTCAAGTTCATTTACTTTTTATTCTGTGCCTAATCCGCTATCACTTTGATCAAGAATTTTTTTACTTGGTGTATTTTTAAAATACATTTTATTTTTAGAGTTGTTTTTGATTTACAGAAAAAATTAAAGATAGTATAGACACTTTCTACATAACTTACACCAGTTCCCCTTTCTAATCAGCATCATATATTAATAAGACACTTTTACTATAATTAATAAATAATATTAATATGTTATAATCAACTAAAGTCCATACTTCATTTCAATATCTTTACATAATATACCTTTTCTCTTCCATATTCCATTCAGGCTTCCACAGCACATTTTTTTTTTTTTTTTGTATATGAAAATAAGCTCAACATTCCTCACTGTAAAGGAGATGCAGATCAAAACCACAATGAGATACCACCAACCTCAGTCAGAATGACTAAGATTAAAAAACCAAAAAATGATAAGTGCTGGCAGGGGTGTGGTGAAAGGGGAACTCTCTTATACTGCTGGTGGGAATGTAAATTGGTCCAGCCACTGTGGAGAACAATTTGGAAATTCCTCAAAAATCTACAAATACAACTACCATATGATCCAGCAATCCCACTCCTTGGTTTCTACTCAAAGAACAGAAGAATTCTTAATCGGAAAAGTGCTTGCCCATTTATATTTATTACGGCATTATTCACAATTGCTAAGACATGGAATCAACCCAAATGCCCCCATTTAATCTTCATGTCTCCTTAGGCCCTTTTTGGATATAAGAGTTTCTCAG